GTTTTGCGAGAGATATAACGAGTAAAAGCAGCACATTCAATAAACAGCAAAAGTGGCCAGAGAAATAACTGCATCATGAATCCTACTCAAAGAAGTATCATCATAGAGCGACTCTGATATATGATGTATGAAATATTTATCCTCACCTGTGTTTCCATTGCAAGAATATGGATATATCATATTATCTCTTAGCGCCAGTGATCAGAGAGCAAGTTACTGCATTGTACAGCTTGTATGTTCCCACGAGTGAAGTTTTTAAAAAGTAGACGAAAAATCACTGCTGCCAGGTACTAATGCTGTGTCAGTCCCACACCTGTCGTCAGTGTCTGTGTGACAATGAGGCTCACTGGAGAGAGGGGGGGTGTTTACTCTAACGTCTTCCTGCCGAGATTCCGGTCGTTAGACCGGTTCAACTTGCTCTTGAGCATGTGTCCCAAAAAAAAAAAAAAAAAAAAGATGGACTGGAACTGTCCACATAAATTGGCACAATAAAAAGGAAACTGATAGAAATTTGTGTCATGTTTTTTTAACAGGGAGGAAGCTATTTTCTCAGGTTTGGTCTTTTGTTCTATTGTATTGAGACTTAAGGGCGCATTCCACAAAGGTGAGTGGCCTGTTTCTAGGTCCGCTGTTCAATCAAATGACACAGATTCTTTTAAATAGTGGTTGTGTGTAATTGTATCGGAGGAATAAAAATGGTTCAGCAGTTGTAATGAACTGAAATGTCTTTTGGTTTTCAGTGCCAGTTTGTCGAGGGAACTTATAACAGCTGGTTAATCTCGATCACTCACACTGGAGGAGAGGAGAATCTCAGAAATGTGAGATCTAAGTGCTTTTAATGGATTTGATTGGTCCAAATGACTGGGACACAGTGTATTGAACAATAAGGGTGAAACTCTTTGGAGTTATCACAAAGCTTAACAAAAGGAAAGATTTCTTAAAGGTTTTTTTAACACTGTATATTGTATTCAATGCTGAATTTGCCCCAAATAATTCAAACACAGCTTCAAATCTCTGTTGTGAGCAGTAGTATATAACTAAAGTAATGTGAATGTTTTAGCTGAGACTTTCATTCTGGAGTGTTTGGGCCCTGATTGCAAATGCAGTTTCACCAAGTTTTCATGGAAGAGTCATGAAGTGACAGCAGACCCTTACCTGAAGAAGCTGTGCAGAGCTAAATAGGGAATAAAATGTTCAAATCAATCTTAAATCAAACTGGGAACCAACAAATATAAAAAAGGTGTGACGTGATCATATCTCTCAGTTCTCCTAGCTGATGTAATACCAGTGTCAGGGCACAGCTCACTTCATAAGTGCGTGGACATTGCACCATGTTTCTAAACCAATGTTCAACACTGTGTTTATTTCTGATTGAATTTCGTGAATTCCCAAGATGCAGGGGCCGAATCCAAGGGGGCCTAATTTCAATTGGTCCATGAAAAATAATTATAATAAGGACAACAAAAGTACTAATACCATACAGCAGGAAGTGATAGTGAATTATTGGTGAATTTTGATTGCACTTCTCCCTCTTAGAATGAATCACCGTTTGCAGGAGTGTTTTTGTTGGCATAGAACATCTGTCTGTGATAGATTCTGAAGCCCATCAACTGACAGTCTGCATTGTTCAAGCTTCATGTTGAAGGAGTGCATTAGGTGTGGCACTGCCCTTTTAAAACACAACATGGTGTAAACTGTGTTCACTGTTACAGAGGAGAAATGAGGCAGAGAAATCAAAACACAATCCCCCTCTGCTGACTGGAAATCTATGTTGTGAAATCCTTGTAGTGGTGAAGGATATACTATCAGATCTGTCACATATTATTCCAGCTAATCACCAGCAATATAGAAGCTGAAACTGCAACTCCATAGATCTATGGAATTTAATACTAATGCCTGTAGTTAATATATACTTTTGCTGGGAAGAAAGTGTTTCTTGTGTGACTGCTATCAAGTTCAGCCAAATAAAGAGAGAGAAAAAACTTTAGCCTACAAAAACTTGATTAGGTTGGAAAAAGAGGTCATGGTCAACCATTCAAGAATAAGGCAAGGCAGTTTTATTTATACAGCACATTTCAGTGTTCAATAGATTCAATGTGCTGCACAGGGACATGAAAAGCAACACACAGAGACATTATTTTGAATAAAAACGTTTTTAATTTGGATTTAAAAGCTGCAATGGATGGACCTGGAGGTTAAAACTTGTGGGATATAATTAGAGAATTGTGGATTTTGTCCCCCATCACTGACGTATAGTTTTGATGTAGAAATGGGTCTCTAGATGGCCTGTATGATCAGTAGCAACGGTTACAGTGAGTAAAACCAGTTCTAATCTCTACATAGAAACCTGACCTCCATGTTCTGTTGAGCATTGTTTCAGGGTTCAGCCCTGGCAGAGGTGGGTGGGGCCAGATCAGGTAATATGTCAAGGTCATATATACTATGAAAACAA